GTATCCCTTATCTGAAGTACATGAGACCAGAAATGTTTTGGATTTTGGATTTTTTCAGAGTTTGTAACATTTACCTACTGGTTGAGCATCCCAAATCAGAACATCCAAAATCTGAAATGCTCCAAGGAGCATTTGTTTTGAGCATCATGTCAGCACTCAAAAAGTTTTGGATTTTGAAATATTTTGAATTTTTTCATTAGTGATACTCATCCTGTAGTATTATATTTATGCTCAGGTGCTAAAAAGTGAGAGGCAGAATGATGTGACTAGAAAGAACCCCAAAACAGAAGTCAGAAACTCTGTGGGTAGAGTGTGCATCTGCTCCTATTCAACCATGTGACCTCGGCTAAGTCACTTGACCTCTCTAAGCCTCAGATTGCCCTTCTATGAAATGAAGGAGTTAGGTAATTTGGCATTTAAGGAACTTCCCTCTGCCCCCAAACATTCCAGGATTCGCAGTGTGGCCTAGGATGAGAATCTGTCACACGGATTCACATTTTTCTTACAGCTGATAGGCTTTTTAGAAAAGGAACCAAAGCCCAGGGAAGTAATAGAAACAGTATATGAAATTTCAGTCTACTAACAAAATTGATCTAGAAAGGAATAGCTCTGTTTGGCAAAGAACACCTGTCTCATTGTTGTTACATAAACGTGTTTCACAAAGCCAATTTGCTAAATTATTAAACTAATGAGAAAATATATCCATTCAGATTTTCCAAGTACAGTGAAGAAAATGTCAAGATGACTGACTTTTCTTTTCTAACTATAGACAAAGTCAAAAACCATACCTCTTATCTGAGAATGACCCTTCTCCCCCAGGGAGTCCCAAAAGGTGGGCTTTGTTGATTTAGAGAGTCAATAATTCAGTAAAGTCCCAAGTAAATGGCACAACACAAGCTCAGATTGGGTTTTTGTATTCATATTTTATAAATATTTCAGGACTTTTTTTCCTGAACCTTGACCTGTTGCCATTCTTAAAGTGAAGATTTTATATCCCGGAAGCTTGGTTAGAAACAACTTCAGGATCATCTCATCCAACTTCTTTCTCTATGTGAATCCTACTCTCAGCAATACCTCTGACAATATAATGTAGTGGGTTCCAAATCTAGATTGCCTTGATTCACAGCCTGGCTCTGCCCTTAATAGCTCTGAGACCTTGGGCAAGTTACTTAATCTTTCCAGGGCTTAGTTTCTCCATTGGCTTTTGGCTTAATGGGGATAATAATTGTCCTTACCTCAATGCAAAGGCATAAAAGTGATATAATGGACTTTGGGGACTCAGAGGGAAGGTTGCAAGGGATGAGGGATAAAACACTACACATTGGGTACAATGTACTGTGCCTGGGTGATGGGTGCACCAAAGTCTTAGAAATAACCACTAAAGAACCTACCCATGTAACCAAGAACCACCTGTTTCCCAAAAACTACTGAAATACAATTAAAATAATTGTCCCTAACTCAGATAACCTACCTTTTATATTAAAGTGCTTGGAATATACCTGGCACAAAGTAAATGCTCAATAAACAATAACTATTATAATCATCATCTGCAAGTAAGCCCCTATTTGAGTGCTTCTGGGAACAGCAGAGAATTCATCCATCCATCCCACCCTCCCTACCCTCCATTTCCCCAGGGCAGCCTGTTGACATGTTAGTCAGAATCATTCATACCAGCTTTAGAGTCAGACCTGAGTGTGAAACCTTATTCTGTCTGCAGCCTTGGGCAAGATAACCTATGGTATCTTCATCCGTGAAATGGAAAGAATCATACCTATTTCACTGAACTGTTGTGAGGACTAGTTAAGATACTATATGAAAAGTACATAAAGTACTTAGCATGGTTCCCAGCTACATACTAGGCACTCAGTAAATGATAGTTGCTGCTGTGATGATGACTGAAGAACAAGAAAATAAAGAATAGAGAGAGGAGAGAGAAAGATAAGAGAAGCAGTAGTAGCCACACCAGCAGCTGCTATCTGTCTGTAAAAAGTTGTTTCTGACTAGCTGGGTTCTGCTTCCCTGTGATTTTATTTCACCAGCCCTAGGTCTATCCACCAGAGCTGCACAGAACACATCTGCTCTATCTTCTACTTACCAGCCCTTCAGATATTCAAAGAGGGCTAGCACAGCCCCTTCCCTACCTGTATAGCAACATCGCCACCTCCACTTCTCAGTGCCCCCTTTCCAGGGAGATATCTTCCATTCTTTAGCTGTCTCTCAGAGCACATAGTTTTTAGGCTCTTCCCTAAGCAGGAGGTCCCTCCTGGCATGCTCCATGTCCTTTTTGAATAGGGCCCAGAGCGCTGCAGGACAGTTTCACAGTGTGGCCACCATCTTGCTGGGGAGAAACATGATGTCCTACATTCCCCTAGGTTTCCCTCAATCAGTTTGTCCAGCCAGGCAAATGAGAATGGAAATAGAGATTGTCTTGCTCACTTTGAAATTCTTACCTAAAATGGCCTTCAAAGAAAAAACATTGCTAGATGTTATTTTTAGGGCACCAGAGGGAGCAGTCAGCACAGCCGTATTTGCTTCGAGCAGTCCAGTGGTGACATAGCCTCACCGAACCTGTAGACAGGGGTCTCCAGAGATGGAGGCATTACCTGATCAGGAAAAGGGGGGCACTCTTGCTGGGAAGTGGGGAAGAAACAAGAAAGATAGCCTGGTGTAGATCAGGGTTCCAGGAGCTTTTGGTGAAAGAGCTGCAGCTTTGAAGTTAGAAAGATCAGGGCCCCTACCCAGTCAGTAATGGCTGCAACCTACTGAGTACTCACTGGCTCAGACACTGTACCAGAGGCTGCACCAACATTATTGCATTTAACTATCATCACAACAACCTAGGAATAAGAAACTATGATTCCCATTTTGCAGGTGAGAAAACTGGCTCTCAGGTTATATAATTTATTCAAGGTCATATTGGTAAGAAGTGACAGAGCTAGGATTTGACTCTAGGTTTGCTTCACTCTTTTTAACCATTGTGCTGTATAAACACTTATTAACCATATGGCTGTAAACAAGTGGTAACCACTTTGAGCTTCAATGTAATCATCTCCACTGTCTTTCATGGTTGTTGTATGGATATGTTGTCTGGCATATAGTAGGCATTCAAGAAATTTTAGTTGCCTCCTTCTCAAATTCCAGCTCTCCCACTCAAAGTGACCGAAGAAAGCCATTTAACTTTTCTTGGACACAACTTTCTCATATGAAAACTGGGTGTGGTTTAGGAATCTCTAATCTTGCATATGACAACCCCAGCATGGTGCAACTCAGGCCTGATACTTCAGCCTTCCACCCTCTTTTGCTTCCTAGCACACTATTACAATGATCGTTTCTCCCAGCAAACACCATATTTACAAGCCATAAATAACAAAGTAGAAGATGCTGGAAGAGCTCTGGCATGTTAATTAAGAACAATATCAGAAGCAGCTGGACAGAAAATGCCAACGAGTGAGAAGCAGAGGCAGTGTAGCTCTGTTTGTTGACAGAAGCCAATGCAGTATTGTACGTTAATTGGGGAAGTGGGTAAACATTTGCCAGCAGCTTGCCCCTCAGTGCATTGGAAGATAGACAGCAGGCTAGGCCCTTCCCACTCCTTGCCTGTCCATCTGCCCACAACCCAAGAGATACAAATACAGTGTGCTTTGCTCTGAGTTCCTTACAAGCAGAGAGGATTCCAGGGGTGGATGTGTCTTTTTCATGACGCTCCTGAGCATACCAGGTTTCCATCTAGATACAGCTGAAGATAGTTTCCCCTTCCCCTTGCCAGCATGGCTTTGATACTTGGCATTGGCCCCCAGGGCTTCCCCTTCCCCATATCCCCCACCCCACCATGGAAGAAGACACCAGAACCATCTTATCAGGAGCAGCTTGAGTTAAGCAGAAGATGAGATCGCCTGCCTCAGGTGCTGCAGTCAGGCCCAGAGCAGCAGCCTCAGGCCTGACTAGAGATTGCTTGCCCTCCCATCACACTTGGAGTTGCCCATTTATCTGTGTGTCCGCCATCTTTACAGTTGCTCTCACACACATAATCATTATGGAACACCTGTTCTGGGCAAGACACTTTGCTAATTATATATTTTTTCTCATTTAATTCTCACAGTCAGTCCTGCAAGGTTGATACTAACTTCAAAGCCACAAAGCTGATAGCCAACACAGCTGTAATTTAGAGTCTTTCTAATTCCAAAACCTGTGTCCTTTCCACTAAACCAGTATTACTCAACTTTTAAACATTCCTGACCTCTTTTGATAAACAGGAAAGTTTTGTTTCTTCTCTCAGTCGCAAATTCAGAAAACCTTCATGTCCCATCCCTGCCCCTTGCCTAGGAAGGCATAAACCTAATTTAGGATCCCTGTATGATTAACGTATCCCACTGAGCCAAGATTTTGTCTAGCTTGACTTTCAATAGTTCATATTACAAAATTATGATTTTTTTAATTTTGAAAATATAAAGTTGTATTATGATATTGACTCTTTTTTTTCCAAACTAAATAAACCGTCAACAAGGATATGATATGCCTGCCCTCACCAGGGAAGATAGTCATCGTTGGGCATGGTGGAATGGCCATTCTACACTTTATAACGTAGTTCTAATAGGAAGATCAGCCCCAAAGGCTTAGCTGCAGTCCCACCAAGCAGAAAAATCCCTCCCCTCTATTAGGGGTTAACCAAGCAGAGGTCCCTAGGAATGCCAGTCAGTTGTTAACCAGCACCTTTCCAAAGGGCCCCTGTTCTGCCAGCCAGGTTGAGCTGTGCAGGAGGCAAGGTACCTCCACCAAACTCAACTACGAGATTTGATTTTCCTGAGCCCTGGTTTCCTCACTTATAAAATGAGAATAACAACAGCTGCCTTGCAGGTTATTTTGAAGATCAACTAAGATACTGCGAGACTCTTCATGCCAGTGCATAGTTTCAGAATCAGTGTGCATAGATAAAATGAATGCCGTGTAGAGGTTATAGTGCTTGTTTCAGTCTCTTGAATATGTGTTCTTTGTCTTTTTAGGTAACTCAACTGGACCCAAATAAGTCATTATTGGAGGTAAAGTTGTTCCCTCAAGAAACCCTTTTCCTTGAAGCAAAAGAGTAAACACGGCCCAGCGGTGGAACCAGCCATTCCTTGACAAGCCAGCAGCCTGCGTCAGGAGAAGGGCTCCTCGCCAACCCACCCACACGCTCGTCTCACTCAATTCAATGTCACACTTCTGCCTCTTGCAAAATTGCTGGAAAAAGTAATAATAAATATAGCTACTTAAGATTTCCCATCCATGAGTATATATTCCCAACCCTCATTACAGAAAATTACAACTCTGCCACCCTCCCCTACCCCTGCACTTCACCCTCCTTCAGTGATGAATACATTGTGCAAGTGGGAGTGGTCATTAAATAGCATTTTTACCTCTCCAGTGCCCATCTTTTCCCCAGTGTCTAGGACAGTTCTGTCTGTTCTGTGACACCAGGATGCTGTATGTTTGATATATGTCTTTTTATTTTCATGACTGAATTTCTACTTCGTCACCTAATTTTAAGGGGCAGAGGGAAAAAAGTCAACTGAGACATTGTCGGCATGGAGATTAAACATAGGAAAAAAGGTATACCATTTTTGTTAGTACTTTCTGAAGGCTTTACTAAGATGTAAGGTTTTGTTTGAGGACTGAATTTGACATATATTCAAGATACTTATTTACTGCTGCTGCCTTGGGTCTCCAGGTTCTACCTAGGAGGTATTTGCTGTTCCACTGCAGCACAGGGAAACTGTTCAAGCATACAGTGTGAACGCTGAGATCATGTGCAGAGAGGCCAGTACCAGAACTTCAGTATCTGGCCCAGTGGCAAGAGGCTACTGTTAGGTTTGCATTTGGGCAATTAGAACCTCACAGATACCAGCTCCCAAGTTGCTAGTCTATCAGTGTAAACTGAACAGAATTCTCTCTTGCTTTCTCTCTCTCTACTCCCTCACACATTTGGACCTTGTCACTTGGTGTTTAAGCACCTTGTCTATCAACAAAATCTGATCAGCACCCCATGGACTCTCCTGTAATAAGGAACTTGCTCTACTGTTTTATTCTTTTAATGTTTTGGTATTTCATATTGGACTCAAATGAAAGGGATCTCATTCTGTGGCTGAAAAATCAGACTTCATATGTTGAAGAGAGCCAACTTGGGGGCTCAACTCAGAAGACATGTGTTGCCTGAAACCTGCATATAATAATTTTTTATTTGATTTAGTAAGTGTGGATTTTTCTTAATCTACAGATTTGGGGTTTGGGGTTTAGATCATGGGAACACCGTTTATACGTTCACAGCCAATGATTTATTTTTAGTCTTGAAATATTTCTCCATGTCTGTTTTTGTGTCACCTGTGGTTTTTATCCTAGGGGTTGGGATCCTGATTTTGACATTTTGTACTTGTCCAAAAAAGAGTTCAAGTGCTGGGTTTCTTCCCCCAGTCTCAGCCAAAGGGTTCTCAGAAGACTCTAACCAAAGCTGGAGATATGCCTGCTCATTCTCCTTCTGCCCAGAAGTGAATGCTGGCCAGGAAAATTACACCTTGTGTCTTCTCTGATGCTCTAACCAGAGACCTCTCCAGATTACTATCTAGCACAGACTAGTGCTACATCTGCCTAGGTGTGGCCTTTCTCTGGCACCAGGGCTCTCTCTAGGGAGGCTGAAAGGAAGGGAGATCGTTCAGGGGAGTTCAAACAGAACACTTCTCTCCAGCGCTATTCCTGTCTCCTAATCTAATGGCTCTACAAGATAGTCATTTCCAGTGCTGCAGATGCACCAGGGCACCACCTCTTTTTTTTCTAGGTAGACCTTGTTCTGTAGCTGCTGTGAAGAAACTGCAGCCCTGAACTCAGGTCATACTCAGGAACAGCAGCAGGGGTGTGGTTGGGGTTTGAGGGAAGGTACTCTGAATTCACCTTCATATTTAACCTGTTCCATCTGACTTGGGTTTCTTCATTATATTGCTCCCTCTCATTCACCTTCACTTCTGTATTACAACAATATAGACTTTACTCTAAAGCCAATTTCATAAAAGTTATTAAATGCTACTTGAATGTGTGTGAAGTTGACACAATCTTTTTCAACCTGCCTTGGAAAGTTCTTCTCAGTCTGGCCTACTCAGCCCCATGATTTCCTATACTCTAGGCCTCATAACTGGGAAAGGCCTCAGCAAATTGTCACTGTTCACTCAAGACATGATGAGCCGGGCGCAGTGGCTTACGCCTCTAATCCCAGCACTTTGGGAGGCCGAGGCGGGTGGATCACGAGGTCAGGAGATGGAGACCATCCTGGCTAACACGATGAAACCCTGTCTCTACTAAAAATACAAAAAATTAGCCGGGCGTGGTGGTGGGCGCCTGTCATCCCAACTATTCAGGAGGCTGAGGCAGGAGAATGGCGTGAACCCGGGAGGTGGAGCTTGCAGTGAGCTGAGATCACACCACTGCCCTCCAGCCTGGGCAACAAAGCGAGACTCTGTCTCAAAAAAAAAAAAAAGACATGATGGTCTACTAAGCTTCAGACAAAAGGCCAAAGCAATTGTATACTTTTTCATACAAGCACAGCATTAAAATGACTTCCTATCACAGTGTCCTCTGCAGTTCTTCCTCCTACCATTAGGCTTCCTTGGGCTTTACATCCCAGCCTCCAGGCCCAGAGTCAATCTGAATATTTGCTCGGCATTCTTATGCCCAGCTGTTGACAGTGAAGCTCCAGGACTCTTTGTCATCCCCTATTCCAGTTTACTCCCTTGTGTTCTTGGACTGCTGAATGTGCAGTTGCAGCATTAGTTTGAAAGTTAAAGGAAGTGTTGCCGATTTCTCATTGCCTTTAAGAAGGTGCAGGGGTGTTTTTGGAGGTTTGCGGTTTGGGATGTTGCCATTCTCTGGCACTACTAGTTTTATAGCACACAAAGATGTTCGTCTCTGGATTGTAAGCATCCAGAATCAAAGTTGAATGAGAGCATCTTTTATGGAATCTGTCTTTTTAACATAAGAGAATAAGAGTTAGGCTTTTATAGATTTTACTTGTTGCTGACATTAGAAACATATTAATCACATACCAATATCTAAGTGTGCTGGTCAATGGAATAGGTTTTTAAGAGGTTGGAGAGCTCTGGCAAATTTCTCCCAAAATATAGAGTTTTTCATTTGGATGTGGGAGAGGGTCTTAATTCTCTCCACAACAGCATCACTGATTGACACATTTCTACCCATCCTTCTCAATCCCTTAGCCACCCAGTCCTGCGTCCCCACAAGTGGATGAGACTTGGAGTCTTTAGTTCAGTCCAGGAGTAACTCATATAGGCATTGCACATTATAGTCTGTGTAACCCTTTCACCTGTATTTTCTCTCTTGATCCTTTTTAAAATTCTTAGAGGAAGAGAGATCTTCACATACATATAACCACAACCACATACACACACATTCCAGAGACTTCAGTGTCTTCCAAGTCGAACCTCTCTTCTGCCACTTAGTAGCTGTGTGACCTTAAGGTAAGTAACCTCTGAAACTCAGCATCCTTACAACATTCTGATAGCACTTTGCAATTGTCCGCACCTTTCACACTCATAATAGTCTACTGCTATGATACAAGCAGGGCAAAGATGTTGATTCCATTTTTGCACAAGGGGCTTAGAGGATAGTGGCTTGCCTAAAATCACACAGCATGTCAGTAGAAGAATCAGGATTTAAAGTACTGACACTAATTTTCCACTGCTTGTCTATAAAGAATCTGTAATTTTTTTTTTTTTTTTTTTGAGACGGAGACTCACTCTGTCGGCCAGGCTAGAGTGCAGTGGCATGATCTCAGCTCACTGCAACCTCCATCTCCCAGGCTCAAGCATTTCTCTTGCCTCAGCTTCTCAAGTAGCTGCGATTACAGGCATGTGCCACCATGCCCAGCTAATTTTTGTATTTTTGGTAGAGACGGGGTTTCACCATGTTGGCCAGGCTGGTCTAAAACTCCTGACCTCAGGTAATCCGCCCACCTCGGCCTCCCAAAGTGCTGGGATTACAGGCGTGAGCCACCGTGCCCGGCCAAGAATCTCTAAATTTTATATTCAAGAATGGATCTTGGAATCTTTTACGGTTGTACATAAAAAGTTAAAACGTCACTTTGGGAGGCAAAGGTAGGAGGATTGCTTGAGGCCAGGAATTCAAGACCAGCACTTACCATATACCAAGACCTGTCTCTAAAAAAAAAAAAAAAAACCTTTTTAGTTTGCCAGGCATGTACTTGCCTGTAGTCCCAGCTACTGTTGAGACTGAGGCAGAGTGATCGCTTGGGCCCAGGAGTTCAAGGCTGCAGTGAGCCATGATAGTGCGACTGCTACTCTGGCCTAGGCATCAGAGTAAGACCTCATCTCTTTAAAAAAAAGTTAAACATGCATTTTCCTGGAAAGGGAATCTGTATTCATCAGATTCTCAGTGGGACCTATTAATCAAAAAATTTTAAGAATCACCATTTACATCATTCTATTTGGGAAGAAGAATCTATCCATTCTTTTTATCAAGCCATATTTTTATCTAAAAGAAACCTCCAGAGGATGAAATACAATCACTAGACTTTCTTGCCTTGAATATCTCTGCATTTAGTATTTTGTCATTGTCTCAAATAATCTGCTTTGGAAGGTGACACTTAACCCCAACTGGCCATACAGCTCCTCATTGCTGCATTTTGAAAGTTGGTCTGAAAGAAAATATTAATAAAAGAGACATGATCTCCAGTCTTCAGTCTATAAACTCTTTGTACACTGTCTATTAGTTGTGGTTCTTGGCTCTCAGAGGTGGTATGATGTGTGGTTAAGAACATAGCCTCTGGAACCATATTGCCTGAGTCTGAGCCACTCCTCTACTTACTAACAACGTGTCCTTAAGAAGTCACTTCACATTCACATTCCTGTGCCTCAGCTTTTTAACTATAAAATGAAAATAACAGTACCTGGTTGATAAGGTTTTATGAAGATTCAGTGAATTAATGTGGAGCAGTTAGGAAGCTATTATCTGTTCTGTAAACTCATGGGATTATCATAGGAAAGGAGAGTGGGTGATGGCAGCAGTGAGAAGTGTCTGTTTATGGGCGAGGACACAGAAAATGTGAAAAGTAGACACAGGAGGTCCAGGAGCACTGCTCTAGGACCCATCATAGAAGGGTCAGAGAGCCCTGCACAATGTCACTGTGTTACGGGTGTCTAAGGATAAGCCTAGACATGATATGATAAAGAGAGGAGGAGGAGAACTGACTTGCTGAGCACTTA